GCACTGGAAAGTGCATACAGCGCTTGTCTATCTTTATTCTAAGTGTGAACATGGGTCTGAATAACAAGGCGAACATTCGGAACGACTAATATATGCTGGTCATTTACATGCTTAGCCATTTACATAGTCATTTACATATTCTATGTAGGCAGATCTATAGCATGAAGCTTTCTAAGCAAGGCCGTGCATTTTCAGCCCTCTATGAGCCTTAGTTCATAAAAAATAAATTGCATGCAAAGAAGGAAAAAACGAAGTTTTCTGGGTTTTCCGAAGTTCTGGCTTACTTTGGTTTTCAACTTCTAGCCATAGAAGAATTTGGCAACTGTACCACAGTTTTATATAGAGAGCACTAACTGCCTTATTTCGGCTTTGCCCCGCCCTGTCAAAAACTGTCAAAACACACAACACCCCACTCAAAACACTAAGGGCCGCATGCATTAACTTCCTCGCCGGGGAGGGAATCACAGCTTCAGAAGAAAGCTTCATATCCTGAAGCTCCACATATCTGGATTTCACGTTGTCTACCATCCGTAAGAACTCCCACCATCCTTTACTATGAACATCTTGAACGGGAGCAAGAATCTGTATAAGCCGCATTTTCCGGCTTTCTGTATGATCCCCTAATGATTTCCCGCGACCGGTCGTCTTTTGTTTGAAGTCATTATTCTTTCTTCAGAGTTGATGAAAACCATCCAAAGTTGTGCTGATTATCTAACTCAACAGTACTAAGCATGTTGCTGATAAGAGCAAATAAGTTTTTGGAATATCGATTTTTCGACAAACGCCGACTTTCGACTTGTGGTTCATCGCAAATTTCATGACTTCGAAAACTAATTTGCTCTTACCAAATCATGATTAGCACTGTTAGGTTAGGTAATCAGCACAATTTTGGAATGTTTTTATGACTTCGAAAGAAGAAAAATGGCTTTATATAGAAGACGGTCGGCAGCTAGGGATCATCAGGGGATCGAACAAAAAGCTGAAAAATGTGGCTTGTACAGCTTCTTGCTCCCGTTCAAGATGTTCATAGTGAAGGGTGTGATGGGAGTACTTATGGATACATAGACAGCGTAAACTCCAGACTAGAGCTTCAAGATATGAAGCTTTCTTCTGAAGCTGTGATCCCCTCCTGGCGGGGAAGTTGATGCATGCGGCCCTAAATATCCCATCCCCAATGGCGGGCCGAGAAGGGCGCTCCCCCCCCCCGAGAATGGGTCGCGAAATTTTTGAAAGTTACTCATATGGGTTATAAAAATGTGCAAGTGACTTGTACTTGTTTGTTTTTGAAAGCAATTAAGATGATTCCTAAGAATTTTAGAAATTTAAATTAGCCCTACATAAAAAAATTTTTCGGGGCATGGCTAACGCGACGCCCCCTTTTTCCAGATTTCAGGGGTTGGGGACCCCGCAAAAATTCTGGGAAGCATCCGAAAAATTTTTTCGGAGTGGCTGGCGCCACGCACCTTCATTGGAAAAAATTTCTGTCGCGCCCCCACCCCCCGTCCGAAATCCTGGCGCCGCCATGCCCATCCCTATCCCTGAACAACCTTTCCATGTGCCCACCTTTACATGTCAATTCCCTATTCCCCCTTAGTAAGAAACCCGTCATAGTTCGCCGAGAAAAGCCCAACGGGGCTCAAAAAAGCCCAAAACAAGACCGAAAAAGCCCGAAAACGCCAGAAAGAGCAGGAACGCAGAAACGAACTTTTGGAAGAATTCTGACACTATTTTGATGTGCAGACGAAAAAAATGAACCAAAGCGACGGTTGCGAAATCAACACACATGCCTTAGGGCCAAAACGCGCGCGCGGAAGGGGGTGTTCTGGCTCTTTCTGGCGCTTTGGGCTTTTTTGGGCCTTATTGAGCGCTTCTGGGCTTTTTTTGGCGCTTTTGGGCCTCTTTCGTAAATTACGACGAGCCCCTAATCTACATTTTCTCTAACCCCATGCCAATCGCAGCATCTTAGCTCAAACTTTGCTAAAAAGTCGATAAAATCGATGGGAGTAGTCGATGATTTTGAAGAATGATAGTGTGCTCGTAATCAGCGTGCCCCTTACCCCACTGTGCCAAATACCGCCGCATAGCTCAAACTTTGCAAAACAACAAATCTAAGGACTGATACTGCATTCGTAATCAGCATGCTCAGTTATTTACCCCATCGTGCCAACTCCCAGCCCCGTAGCTCAAAGTTAGCAGAAATAAAATCGATATCGATAACGAAAAGAAGCCTACGACATTTGCACCGCTACGAAGTGCATGTGTACAAAGTTTGGCCCAGATCGGTTTAGATGAAATTTTCTATTCGGAACGTACGTACATACATACACGCAGACATAGGTGCAGACATATAAAACAGACGTTCAGCCTTATATACAGAGTGCCCCAAACGATGTGCACATTGTTTGATCATTAATAACTCTTTTGCTTTCATGTCGCCGACTTAAGGTACCATTCTGTAAAGCAAGGAATTTAGATTTACAGCATGGAACGAATCACCGATTTCTCTCCATTACTGTAATTACGTTATGAACTTTCAGCATACAGTGTCATTGTGGCATAGACCTCTAAATGAAATATGATCAAAAAAATCTGAAAATTTGCGTAGCAAGGTTCTCAGGCGTGCTGATTTCAGTACATAGCTTTTTACCTATCGAGCTTTATTGATGGCATGTTCACATTTCTGGCGAACATTGGAAAAACATTCGTCACACTAACTCTGAAATAACTCGTAAAATAAGCATTGTACTGAAGTGCAAATTCATATTTAGAATCAGCGCCTTCACTTAGCACAGTTCGAGTTTCTGGCTCGTTTGGCTTTTTTCTGGGCAAAATACCGCATTCAATGGCTTGAAATCCTTCTCAAACTTCCTAAGTACTCTGCGTTGATACCACTGCTT